ACTGCGCAAAATTCAACTCTGAAGCGCTGAAGTTTCAACTTCAGCAGCTCCAGAGAGACCTCAGTGAGGCCCTGCAAGCCCTCCCTCACAAGCTCTTCGAAGCCACAAGATGTGAAGGGTTCGGGTCTTCGAGCTGTTTTTCTCCTCGAACTAGGAACCAAAGAAGCACCCATATCTACTGCATCGGTAGTTCGAATCTGCCTCTTTGTAGGGATACTCTGGAGACTGCAGCTGTTTTGGGACTTTCACTTTCATGGTCTTTCTGCACTGCGTGTTGGTAGCTTGTCAGGTATTGCCTGTTAATATGGAGTTTGGGGAGTAGTGTTGGGATTTGCACGTCAAGCGGAAGACTAGAGACCTCATCACCCATGCAGTATGCAAGCTTATGTCATGCACGTGATTCCCGTCCTTGATTTTCTTGCTGTCAGGCGAAGTGCATCGGTGCCAGAACGATCCTGATACTGTGTTCAAAAGCAAAGCTCCTTCCAGGAATGCAGCGGATGAGTCGAGTGAACGCCAAGAAGCTCCGATGCAGCCAACGAAATCTCGATCCACGGTTGTCTCCACGTGAGGCACTGGCTTCGGGTGTTTTTCAAACGAGTTCAAACGAAACGGAGGTCTGAATAACAAGTCAGACGTTCCGCTGCAGTCCCTAAAATGTCTACAATATACCGCACCGAAGAAAAAGCATTATATTTTTGAGGCCTCTACGAATGCTACCGCAGTGCTATCAGGGCTCAGAGAGTTAGCTATACCAGGTCACACATCGTGCGACAGGTAGGGCAAAATATTTAACGCCAAGCTCAACCGACAGCTTAAATGCGCCCAGTAGGACCCAGTAAAGCACACTAACACCCTTAAAAATCCCAACCAAGACCAAAAAGATGACGCGGATCCCCATGCCCCCTCTCCTCGTTTCCCCCCCCCCACCCCCGAGGAATACCATTTGTGGGCACCGCGGACCCAATCCGGAGAACGTGTATGCAAAGACGCTCTAAAATGAAACCCTGGTAAGTTGAAAGCCCTCCAGGTGGCGAGGAACCTGCCTTGCAGGGGTAGATGCAGTGGTGATCACGGTCGCCGTGGATCGGGGCTCGCGGCAATGTTTTTTTAAATTTCTCCTGGCACAAGGCGGCGGTTGTTCCAAATTACAGGCCCCTTCCGGGTCTTTGGGATATCTCCCAAAAAAGTGCCGTGACAGCTTATAGTCAGCTTTTGCTGCTGCATAGGCCTGCGAGGCGAAAGCACGATCGAAGCCCGAGCTCTTTTCGGAATCGGGGTTATTCCCTTTTGGGGGGTAACCTTTAAGAGCACCAGGAAATCAGATTGCTGCACTTCGTGCATCACAAGGAGCTCCGTGCGTGGCTTTCGGTCCCAGTGCTTGCATCTTATGCTTTTTGAGCCTTGTACAAGGCAGTCTCGCGGTAAACCGAGTTTTATCCTCCTTAGCTAGGAAGCGTGCAGTCTGCTGAGCAGGAACATTCCTCTCTTTTCGCAGCTTGACATGTCGGGAAGGAGTTACAGTCTATCTTTAGAGCCTTTGCTGGAGTGTTAGAGCTGCTAAGCCCGGAACCCTACTATTGAAGCCCGAATGATTCACCAACCTCATTCCTCAGGGTCCGTCATACCCCAACAACGCTAGATTATCGGAAGACCCGAAATTCCAAACACAGTGCATGCGTGTGACGAAACCCGGATGAGTCGTTTTGAGTCTTGGGCGACGTAGCCGTAGCCGCGAACCGAATTACCTGTACTGTTTTAAGGGTTCCTTACTATAAGTATAGTATAATATCCCCCAGAACCCTTTTCTAATTATTAAGGTCTCCAAACTAGTCTACTAGGCTTCAAGCACCATGTCAAGCACAAGACTGTCAAGCAGACATGAACTGCGTGGCCGTGTTTGGTTGCAGCCTTCTTTCTGTTTCTGCTTGTGTCGAACAATTGAGGTCCATGAACATGGGCCTTAGCAGAGTCTGCTCCCTGACAATGTGCTGTCCAAAATGGTCAATGCAGCCATAATACCAGCCCGAGACCTTTGACCTGTGCATACTATAGAGGCCTAAAAATACCGGTACTTTCGTGGGGGTTCCGTATAATGAATTATTGTAAATGGACCCAAGAACCCTATTCCAATTATTAAGGCCCATGTATTACAAATTTGGGGGCAGGCAAGCGCTGAAGCAATGATTCTCCGGCCAAGCAAGGCAGTGTCTCACAGGAGCCGCGGGGGCTCCGTTGCAGGTTTGTTGCCTCAGATACCGTACAAATGTCGTCAATAGCTGGTAGCTGCAATTGCTTGTACCGAAGCCCTAGACCCTGAACCGAAATACTGCGTAGTCGCCAAGGCCAGACACCTGGACCCGAAACCCTAACAACATCAAACCATCCAGGAACTGCAAACCGTAAATACGATGCCATGGATCCTACTTGTAGGATCAAGGGCCGAAACAGGGAGGTGAACCTTCGTGACTCCGTTTGGTCAGCTTGTTTAGGGGTGTGTTTGTTGCGACTCATGGGACAAGATGTCTAGTCAGTCGAGTCCTCGCTTACAATCCGAAGCCTTATCCCCCGTCAAGGAGACTAAAGACGAAAGGTCACAGCTATGACTTTCTATTTGGTTAACCCATCGCAAGCCAACCACGAATCAGCAAGACGACACTGCTTGCAATTGGCATCGCATCGTCGGTTATGGACAGGGAGCTTTCGCAGATGAACGCTTCGCGAAGTTTTCTCTGCCATTGTTGTGGCTTCAGCTGCTAGCTAGGGGGTGAAGGGCCAGGGTCCATTTGAGAAGCTTTGTGCGTGAACATTCGTTTGCGAAGCTTGTCTCCCAGACGGACGCACAGCTGTAGCAAGCTAGTCTTGTGAACTCCGGATGCAGACGGCTTCTTCGCTCCGCGCGCAAAGGTGTCAAGTGGAGCTGTGATGCCTGTTCAGTGCGTGACTTGGATGTCTACTCTGTTTCAGGGCCACTGAAGACTGAAACCAGCGGCCTCCCTGTTCCATTCAAACAGAGTGAGCAAGCCATCACATACACCGCTGGTTTAGTTTGCCTACCCATCTTGACCGTCTGTCAAAGCCCTTTGGTGTTTAATGTGCAGGGAACCCTGCGCCGCCATGACCTGGAGTATAGCAACAGAGACAGGGCATGCCAGGGATCCTTCCCTAGCCTTCGGAATCTCGATTTCGAATTTTAAGTGTCCCCCGGGGCCTAGCCGCATTTCATACCGGTGGACCCATTTGTCGCAAGAGCTATGGAGCTTTGACCCTGGGGGCCGAGTTCAACAAGCGTTGTGCAGCTTGCAATGTGGCTCCAGTTCGAGCCAGGGACCTGAATCTGTTCGTGAAGATGACTACCAACTAAACTATAGTATTCTCATTATCCGCTCTATGATATGATTATTGTTGTGTTCATTAATCAGTATGGTTGATATGCCTTTCATGACTATTACCCTTGCCGTTATTGTTGTAATTAATGCTTGTATTGAGCATTGTTGTTATTGTCATTATCAATACTAGCGGTATGCTCCTTATGATTACCACCATTGTTATCGTTCTTATTGTTGGTATTATTGTCTTTTTCTTCTTAACTTCAGTTTCCTTATGGTATCTTTCTTCTTAAAACTATTGTAGTTAGTTTGGTGTTGTTCTTAGTGTTCTTGTTATTGTTGTTGATAAGTTACTACTGTTCTTACTGTAGTGACCACGATCACTGTTATTTGTATGATCGTTATGAGTATGATTATGGTTCTCATCGTTATCACTGTTTCCAGTGTCAGTATTATGGTCTTCATTATCATTCTTAGTAATAAGTTTCTTCCTAGTAGTAGTAGTAGTAGTAGTAGTAGTAGTAGCAGCATGGTTTTTACTGTTTTAGTTCTCTCATTACCATACTTCGTATCACTGTTAGGGTTATTCTTATCCTTAGAATATTGGCAGTAGCATGACTATTAGTTTAAACATGTGTTAAGGACGATTCTTCTTGCTGTTACTCTGCCCATTTCTTCTATTATTACTATTACCGACACCATGACTACTGACCTTTTCTATTCTGATTATTCCTGGTATTGTTATTATTGTTGCTACTACTATTGTTATTTATTACGTATTGTTGCTGTTTATTGTTGCTCTTACTATTTTGGACTCACTACTGTGATGGTTGTCAAGTTTTCTTACAATCGTACCATCATTGCTTATATGCTATATGGGTACATGGACCCTTACTCCCCTAGGTATATACCCTTAATATGGCTATTATATAGGAGTTTCCGAAAATAGGGGACCCTTATCTAGTACCCAGTACCCTAAATAGTAGGATCCTGATTATAAGGACCCCAAAATAAGGTACCCCTATTTTCGGAAACCCCCATATACCCATTATATGGCCCATTATGTTGCCAGTTTCACATCTCGAAGATCGGAGCTGATCTGTGAGCCTGGAAGTCTTTGAAGCTGCACCTGAGGGACTCCGAGACGCTGGCCGCAGTTTGGGGCTCACTACTATTATTCGGGCTTTCTATTCTTATGTCATTGTTATTATGAGTTTTCTAAAAATATTTATGACTAGTAATTATGAATATTATAGTACAGTGCAGCAGGGCCACGCAGTTTCGGAGGCTCCCGTTTTTGGGAAGCCCAAATCTCCTCCCGCGACGGCCCTCGCAAGAGGCAAGCGCAGACACTTTTCTGGTGGGACTTTCCTCAGCGACCCTCCTTTGCCTCGGTGGATCTTGCCACAATTATCAGCCAAGCAAGTGCAAGTCGCGAACTTGACCGATAACAGCCGGTGCTCCCAAGAGCGAGGTCGCTGGCAAGGGAGCCCAGACTGGGCACCCTACAAACACTTCACGGGTCGATGCTGAGGAGTCCCGAACTTCTAAGAGCTGGCAAAATCCGATGTGTTGGTGAGTTGCAGGGGTCGTTGATGCTTTGGAGACGATGATCACCAGACTCCAAGTAATCCTAAACCCTGAGCCGTTATCAGCCTGTCTGCTTTCCAGGTCGCGCTGGCCTCTCCAGCGAGGGTGGAATCGCGTTCAGGGGCAGCTGCTCCGCAATAGTCAGTAGAGGAGTGGGCACTACGGGCCATCGGAGTTTCGGAAGGTTTGGGCGGTTTGGGTGCACCATCACGTTACCGAAGTGCTGGCACTTCGACCTTCCACGTTGCAGGCGACCTTTCGACTTGAGTCCTTCGAAGTAAGAAGTACAGGCGATTGACCATGAGTGACCTGTGCTGCCTAATTACCTTGACCTCTCAAATTTGAGGTGGAAACTGTTGTGGCAGGCAGGCTGACTTTAGCTTGCATACTTTGGTGGTCATGGAATACCGAAGCACAGAAGCACAACATACTCAACCCAAGCACGCGGCGGAAAGGCACGACGCGGAAGCCTAAAACCGACATGCCAAACACAGACCCGCAAGAAGGTAAAAGGCGTGTTGTCTCTATCGATACATATTATATATACATATTGCTTATTATTATTATTATTATTAGTAGTATTATTATTAATATTTTTATTATTTTTATTATTTATTATTATTATTATTATTATTATTTATTATTATTATTATTAGTATTAGTATTATTATTAGTATTATTATTATTATTACTACTACTATTACTATTACTATTACTATTATTATTATTATTATTGTTATTGTTATTGTTATTGTTATTGTTATTGTTATTGTTATGTTATTGTTATTGTTACTATATATTTATATTATATTATATTATACTATATTGTATTGTATTATATTATATTATATTATATTATATTATATTATATTATATTATATTGATTTATATTATATTATATTATACTATATTATATTATGTTATGGTATGTTATGTTATGTTATATTATATTATATTTATTTGACTCCGGATTGCAAGCTATTGCTGGCTCCTGGTAATGATTATCGCGAATGTGAGTCGCAGTGTCTTTAGCTACTGATTTTGCTTGTCGTGCAGCTACTGCTGGTGTCACTATGTTTTGACTCTTGTTGTTTCGTTCAACTTTTCGAGAATTCTGGCATTGCCGTTGTCGGTATCATTACAAACAAGAGGAGTGGTCGTCGCCGGAGGAAAATGACCCTGACAATCCAAAGTCAGGGATAGATGCCATACCGATCATGTGATGAGATATGATGAGTGTTCAGTCCTCGACGCCCCCACTTCCTTCTCTTATAGTCTGAATATTGATTCCAGCTCTTCTTCGCTAAAGCCTGTCGTGCTGACTGGCCCAAGACCATGTGCAAAACCCGAAACCCCCTACGCATGCCGCATACCCAAAATTTTCGAGGCTGCGGCGTGCACTGCGAAATCTTGCGGCAGTATCGGAGCAGCAGAGGCCCGTTAGGGGTTGGGCAACGGGTTACTGAGCATGGACTTAGGGTTTTCATGGCTTCAGGAAGTAAGGTTATAGGGTCTGGTGGAAGGATTGTCCGGGTGCTTCACGCATCAGTACTGGGTGTCAGGGTGTCATAGCAACTGGATAACAGTTTCATGACGTGGTACGCAGCTTGACTGAGGGGTCTTCCCGGGATTCGGAAGGTGAGCTTTAGAGGGTTCTGGGCCCCTTTGGGCTCAGAGGCTGAGAGCACGAACCCCACACCCGCCTCGCGAGTGCTTTGGGCTGGGTATAACGATTGTGTTCATCGGGCCCTGCCCACAGATGGCCACTGTGATGTGTTCAGTCAGAAGCATTGCGGTTTTGTCCATGTGGTGGGCCGAAGCTCCCCTAGACTGACTGACGGGCTTGGCCGAAGCACCAATCTCTCCTTGGACCAACTAGCGAGGACCTAGAGCCCTCACCATTTAAATCCTAGAACATGAAATCCTGCGGCTTGACAAATCCCTCATCTTGACGTCTGAATGGCCTCAAGCAAAGAGCCTACTACTTGATAGGTCGGTGGACTTCGTACTGTGCTTTTGCAGTGTGGCACGCTCCCCAGGCAGGGCGCCTCGAACATGATCGGGATGTGCATGCAGGAGACATGTCGGAGTCTAGGTTGCATGCCTACACTTATTGTGGGCTTGCTTGCTCGCTTGCTTGCTTCTGCGCTTGTGCGCTTGCGATCTTGTGCCTGTGCCTTGCCGTGCTGTGCTGTGCTGTGCTGTGTTGTGTTGTGTTGTGTTGGTTGGCAGTAGGTGGGTTGGTTAGTTGTTTGGTCGGTCCGTGGGTTGGTTGCTCGGTCGGTTAGTTGGGTTGGTCGTGTCCAGTTTCTAATCTCTTGAAAAGCTGGATTTGGTGCTCCGGCCATTGACCCTTACCCCCTTTCGGAAGAAGTCTTACGGCCCTTGAGCCCCTCGCCCGACATCCTAGAAACCTTCCCAGCCAAAGCATTCTGAACTCCCGAAGGCAGAATCCTAGTATAAGGGCCTTAATAATTGTCAAAGCACCCTGTTTTCGAGCGGTCAGGTCGCATACATGTCACAGGCGATCGCATGAGTTCAGAAACGAGCTCGTCGATCTGCAGCCGTTACAGGCCCTGAAGTGCGCAAAAGGTTAGAGTCCGGAGCCCACATTGCTGTCTGCGCTGTCACGTTCGTGTGGCAGCGGAGCCTGTCAACGATCCAGGGAGGCTTGAAGGCGGGTGTCCCGACGTCGATTCGGAACTTTGTGATAAAGCTCGTGCGAGGGCTGTGTTTGGGGTCCGGCGAGGCCTCGGTGATCTTTGGGTGCCGCTTGTCGCGGTCAGTGAGAAGGGCGGCTTGAGCTGGGCGCACGGCTTCAGGGTCTGCATGGCGCGGTCGTACTATGACGTCCTGGGGGAGACGCAGGACTTTGATTTTGAACTGGAGCGGGACTCTGAGGAGTCTCAGCTCTGGACAACCCCGCCGCCCGACGCCGGAAGGCGCTGGGGTCGGCGAGGAGGGGCAAGGCCTGGCACCGGGGGCTGGTCTTCAAGTGATCGGAGTGGGGAGAGCGCTCCGGAGGAGTTTTTTCGTGAAGGGCGACCGCGCCAAGTTTTTTGGGATGGTTGGTCAGAAGATGGAAAGTGGTCTGGAGATGATAGAGGAGCGAGTCTGAGAGGTGATCGCTCTGGCATCTCCCGCGAGGCGGGCGTGACCGATGACGCTGCTGGTGAGAATTGGAGTTGGAAAACAGGCCGTTCAGGTCGGACGGGTTGGTCCGACTCTTCGTGGAACGGCTCCAATGAGAATTGGGGCTGGAAGAGTTGGGACCAGGCCAGCTCCTTTGCCGGTGAGGGTGGTGCTGTGAACTTTGTCGAGGAGGACCTCAACAAGTTCGAGGATGTGAAGGAGACGATTCACCAGAAGGGTGCCGTGAAGGTCGCTGGGGCGCAGGCCGAGGACAATGAGAAGGCGAAGCACCGTGGGAAGGTGAGCAGCACGTACCCGCCCATCTTTCGGGCGAAGCCTCAAGAGAGCTATGTGGAGTGGAAGCGCAGCGTCGAGTTTTGGATTGGAAGCGAGGCGGGACAACTTCCGCCAGAGATTGTCGGCCCTCGCATCATGGTTCAGTTGAAGGACAGGGCGGCCCAGTTGGTGAAGCACTTGTCGCTGGAGGATGTGAACAACAAGGACGGCAAGCAGAAGATCTTCGATGTGTTGGAGCAAGCCCCTCTCATCAAACAGGTGGAGAGGCATCGGATAGATGAACATCGAAGGCGGCTGATGCAGCTGAACCGGGCCGCTGGAGAGTCGATGGAGTCCTACATTACGAGGGCCGGAGTGTACCGGTCCCACTTGTTGGGACTGGCGCCGGGGCTCGCAATGGGCGAGGCCTTTTATGTTGGGCACTTGCTGGACCACGCCCACTTGACGCGCAAGGACAAGGCCATGATCAAGACCAAAGCAGGGGACGCCAACTCCGAGGCCATGGTCATCGCCGCGATGATGGACTTGGCTTCGGAGCTTGACGGCGAGAGCGGGTTCCCAGTTGGCGTGGCCGAACCATGCTTGGCTCGGAACGGAGAGGAATGGTTGCTTCAGCGTGGTGAGCCTCGACAGCAAAGGTTGGCCACCGGACAACCCGGGAGCCGAACTGCCCGTGGAGTGTTTGTGTCTGAGGGCGCGCCTGGGCTCGAGGAGGCCGAGGTGCACCACGAAGACGGCGAGGACTCCCTTGAGGACTTTGACCTCCCCCCTGAGACCGTGCACTTGGAGAACGAGGCTTTTGGAACTCAGTATAAGGCTCGTCAGAAGATTGCCGAAGTGAAGAAGTTGAGGCAATATTATAGAAAACCTGAGGGCAATGAAGAACGGCGCCGACTGCTCCAGGAGAAGATGAAGACGAACCCATGCCATTCGTGCGGGCAGCTTGGGCACTGGTCGAGGGAGTGCCCGAACCCAGGAGGCAAACCGCAGGCCGTTTTGGCAGCGCGGACTCGCCACGTGCCGGTGACGCCCGAGGTGAAGCTTGATGATGCGGCTGAGTGGGCGCTTTTGGCATCCTTTTGTGGCAGCTCAAAGGGCTCAGCCGACGGAGACTCCGGATCGTCTGCAAACCGTGGGCAATACATGGTGCACAGTGCGTTGGCGACAGTGAGTGTGTCTCTTCATGAAGTGTGTTGGTCACTGCAAGAGCTCGTGTTCAAAGTGATTCTTGATATCGGATGCATGAGGTCGGTGGCCGGTGTCCATTGGGCGAATGCTTTGGTGAAGAGATGGAAAGGTGAAGGCCGATGGTTTCGGGTCTCGGAGGAGTCTGAGGTCTTTAGGTTCGGAGACGGTGAAACGCTGCGGAGTCGCTATCGCTTAAGCTTTTTGGGCAGCTTTGGGGCAAAACCGGTCATCTATGGCTTCAGCATCGTCGATGGGGTATGTCCACCACTGTTCTCGAGGGCGGGATGCACTCAGATTGGGGCGGTGATTGACTGTGAGCATCATACTGTCAGTGCTAGGAAGGTCGGTGTCAAGTCGTTTGGTTTGGGCATGGATAGCGGGCACTACACGATGTCAGTTGATGAGTGTGCAGCTGGTTGTGCAGAACTGCCACAAGATTTCGCGTTGCCAGCAGGAGTTGACATCGTGCCGGTTGTGCCGACAGTTTTGAAGCCCGAGCGTTGCCCCAATGACAGCCCGCATCGCTCTCGAGAAGCACATGGCAGCGGCAGCTTCAACGGCGCAGACTCCCAAGTGCAAACTGTGCAACGGACCCCACCGATCTCGAGAATGCCCGACCATCGCCGAGATCTCCGACGAGAGCTTCGAGAAGGTGGCCATGAAGGTGGATCAGGAGGACACCGACCCGATGACGCGGAAGAAGCCTCAAGCACGCCGCACGCTTTTGCAGCCGAAGAAGCCCAACGAGACGACCACCACCGAGGTCGAGGAGACGCCAGTGCAGGCCCCACCGGAGCCGGCGGAGCTGACGGGCCTGACGGCGGACGAGATCCAGCTGCTGACGAAGCGCGAGCCCGGGCTGCTGCAGCCAAAACCAAGGCTCAGGCCCGCAAGGCTCTCGCCGGAGAGCAAGCGGACTATCCATGCATCGCTGAGCCATGTATGGGCCAACGAGGTTGCGTTGAATGTGGCGTGTTCGGTGCACAGCAGGATGCGCACATATCTGTGGAAGAAGTTCCTGTGGCAGCTGAGGGTGAAGCATGCGATAGAGCGCGGAGGAACGAAGCGATGGAAACGCAACCAGAGGTGGCTTGCGATGCTGATGAGCCGGGAGATTGCGTTCCTGTTCGGCCACTTCGGTTCGATGAGACAGAAGTTGAATGCGGCCGACACATGGCGGCTGATGTGAACGGGGAGGGCGGTCACTTCCACCGACCCAGCCGGGGAGTGACTCAGCGATTGAAGGCTGGGGTTTTGGCGGGCAAGCAAGTGATCCAGGTCCTCTCCGATGTCGTTGCCGACAAGGGGCAGTGGATCCTCCTTGAGGTGTTCTCCGGGAAGGCGCGGCTCACTCAGTGGGCTAAGGACTCCAGTGGTTGGCGAGCCCTCGCTCATGTGGACCGCGATGGAGGCTGGGATCTCACTCGGCGGGAGGACGGCCGCAAACTGTTGGAGTTGATTGAGAATGAGCGGCCGGATCTGGTGACAATGGCCCCTCCTGGCGGTCCTTGGAGCTCGCCTACGGAGACAATGAAGGGGTAGGATGCTTTGTGGGAGTGGCGGCGGCAACAGCTTCCTCTATGGCAGCTGATTTCGGAGGTCTGGCGTGTTCAGAATGTTGCTGGGCGCCTTGTGCTTACGGAGCAGCCGGCAGGGTCTGAGGCTTTGCGGTTGTCGATGATGGAGGCTCGGGAGGATGTCTACCGGGTCTATGTTGAGCTCTGTCGTTTTGCCCTGTGCGACCCCGAAAGCCGAAAGCCTATGCAAAAGAAAGTTGCCTTGGATGTGAACAACGAGGTGTTTGCGCGTGCGCTGTCCAAGGACTCCTGGTGTCCCCATCGGCCAGGTGATCATCAACTTGTTCGGGGTCACTGTTTTCTGGATGGGGAGAAGGTGCGGCGCTCCGACTGGGCCGCATGCTGGACGCCGGAGTTTTGCAAGCATTTGATGAACGCAGCTGAGCAGGCCCTGTGTCATCGTGATGGTGGCACTAGTGCGGTTTGTTGGGCTTTGACAGAGCCTACGTCCGGGAACTTGTGGGAGGTGACCGCGGTTACAAATGCCTCCTTCAGGGCGGAAGCACATGAGTGAGAACTCCTTGACCGGCGAGCGCTATGAATTTGTGACTTTCGAGGGAGAGGCCAACCAACAACCTCGACAACTTCGTTCCATGGTGGCCCACCTGCATGTGACCTTGGGACATCCTTCAAATGAGAGGTTGGCTCGGATGTTGTCCTTGAGTGGGGGCAGGCCAGAAGTGGTTCAGCTTGGTCGGAGTTTGCGATGCCAGGTCTGTGCTATGGTGCGGCCTCCTCAAGCAGCTCCTCAGGTCGCGTATTCGAAACCCAAGCAGTTCAATGAAAGGGTCTCGGGCGACTCCTTCTACATTTCGGACGCCGAGGGCACCAAGTATGCGGTCACGCACTTCATTGACGGCCTGACCGACTACCACATCGGCGACTTGACTGACCGGCCGGATAGTGGTTTCTCGCGAGAGGTGCTGCAGGATTTGTGGTATGGGCCGTTTGGTCCACCCGATCTGCTGCTGACCGATGGAGGCCCGGAGTTCGCTGGCCAGATCTCCATGTTGACAGATCTGTTTGGTACGGTCCACGAGGTGGTCCAGGCCGAACGTCATGGGGCTGTGGTCAAGCTGATGATGATGCGGAATGTCAAGGCGATGAACTTGGTGGGCCTGCGGCAAATGCGCCTTGGAGCCCTGTGTGCCTTCTCGGCAAAGAACCGCTTGAGCAACAAAGGTGGTGTGAGTCCCTTGCAGGCGGTGACGGGGCGGGCAACAGTCATCCCAGGCTCTCTTCTTCAGCAGATTGCGGGTGGCCATGTGCGTTTCAAGTACAACCAGGCTCTGGAAAGCAGCGAAGCATTGGCCCAAGCTGCATGGTGCGGTGGAGGCCTTCCATTGGTTGGACGCACACGAAGCTCTTCGCAGAGCCTTGGCCTCCCGATCGAGACCTCCCAAACTTGAAGGACTGAGGGAGGGCGCGGTGGTGTATGTGTACGATCCTCCCGTTTCTCGTCGCGGCCAAGCTCGTCGTCTACAGGATTCTTCATCATGGCAGGGACCCGGCGTGATTGTGTGTGTGGAGCGGGACCGACCTATACCTGCACGCATCTGGGTGCGGATTCGAGGCCGGGTCAAGGCATTCCCTCTGGAGAAGCTGCGGCTGGCAACTCCTGACGAGATGATGGGTGCCGAGTATATCACACATGCTCTGCAGGATGTGGAGAAGGAGCTCAAAGACGGCACGGCGACCGTCGATGACACTGCCATGAAGGAGCCCCTTGACGAGCCCGGCCGTGCGATCGCTGGCTCTTCGACTGGGACGGCCGGCAACGAAACGGCCCAAGGCGAAGGTTGTGGAGTCTGATTCCTCCTCTTCGAGTTCGTCTTCCGATCAGGAGATGACCGAGCACGATGAGGCCAAGGCCAAACTGCTGGACGATGTTCCTTTTTCGGTGCGGGCCAACCTCAAGCAGAAGGCCGACGAGGAGTTTCGAGAGCAGGATCCCCACGCCTGGGACATGGCCAAGAAGCGTCGCCTGTTTGAGACGCTTGCGAAGCAGATGGAGCCGCCCTCGGCTCTGGAAGAGGCAGGGATCCGTGATCATTTGTGCAACGTCTACAGCAAGTTCAAGGCCGTGAAGAAGGCCTTTGATCAGAAAGCAAAGCCGGGCGCAGGCAAAGGTCGCACTCGTACGGAACTACGAGCTCGCGGAGAAAGTGCGGCTGAACGGATCCAGGCTTCGACGGTGAACGTTGTGGAGGACTGGGATGTGGGCTCAGAATTCTTTATGCCTGGGGAGTATGTGGCCATGATTCAGGACACCATCGGCCACTGGACATTGTGGTCGAGCCCTTCCCCGCACGCCGGCGAGCAAAAGTTGATCGAGGTGTCGGCCACGTTGCATGAGGCGGACAAGGAGGGCGTGACGGAGGTTGTGACCGGCAAGGCTCGTGTGGAGTATAAGTGGGCTTCCTTGGATGACACCTGGAAACGGGCCTACGTCGAGCCGTTGAAGAAGGCCTTGAAGGTCTACCTTGACCATGAGGGCATCAAGGGTGTCCCCAAAGGAACCGTGGTGGACCCCAGCCGAGTGCTTGGCTCGAGGTTCGTTTTGACAAAAAAGGGCGAGCCCACGCTCTCTGAGGCTGAGTTGAAGGCTCGTTGGATTCTGGGCGGTCATCGCGATCCAGATGCTGGACTCTACGATACAAGCTCGCCTACGGCATCCACTTTGGGGCACAACCTCCTGAACTTCGTGGCTGTGCAGAATGGTTGGGTTATCCACTATGAGGATGTGTCAGCGGCCTTTCTTCAAGGCAAAGCGTTGCCCCGAAAGGAGAAGATTTACGCTCGGATTCCACGTGGCTACCTCACTGAGGTTCTGGAGTTCTTGGTGCAGTCCCTCGGTGGCGATGTTCGTGACGACCTCGTCGAGATCACCAAGAGTGGCTTCGGTTTGCCGGAATCGCCACGACTGTGGTACCTAGCGTACAAGGAGATTCTCCTCGAGCTGGGGTTGAAGGAGTTGCGCCTGGCCCCGGGTGTGTTCCGTGCCTTCAATGAATGGGGTCGCGTTCGTGCAATCGCGAGCATACATGTCGATGACACGAGGTACGCCGGTGACAGTACTAGTGATGTGCTTTGGAAGGAGTTGCACGAGCGCCTCCAGTTCGGAAAGATACGAAAGGCCACTGAGGGTTGGCAAAAATTTTGTGGCCGATGGGAGCGCCAAGACCCTGACACGCTTGAGCTCGAGGTGAGCATGGAGGGCTACATCAAGAGCATCCCGCTACTGAAGCCCCGTAGCGGGCCGGCCACGACTACTTCGAGTTCCAATGGCACTACCTCGACTACGGGGTCATCGGGGAAACCGTCGAGTTCTTCTACTTCGAGTTCCACTGGCACTACTTCGACTACGGGGTCCACTTTGACTACGGGATCCAGTTCAGGTTCTTCTTCTACTCCGAGTTCCAGTGGCACTACTTCGACTACGGGGTCCCTGGGTGTGGATACAGACCCGTTAGCTTACTTGCACGACGTGGTGCACGGTGATCCAAAGGAGGCTCCTCTTACAGACCATGAGAAGAAGCTCCTCAGCTCCGTAGTGGGCCAGCTGAATTGGGCGGCGAGACAAGGCCGTTTTGACTTGTGCTTCGGAACGTCTCTGGTGCAACAGCTGGCGGGGCAGGGTCGTGGTGAGGCCATGAAGTGGATCAACACGGTCATTCGTCGTGCCCAAGAACCTGTAGTGCTACGGATGAGGAATCTCGGATGCCACCTCGAGGACGTGGTGATCTTGGCGGTGAGCGATGCTGCCTATGGGGCTATGCCCAATGGGGCAAGCCAAGGCGGGACCCTCATTCTCTTTGCGAATCCCCTGACGCTTGACGGGGAAGCTCCTGTGTGCATTCTAGAGGCAACCAGCTCGAAGGTGCAAAGGGTGGTGCGATGCTCGATGTCAGCAGAGGTTTCAAGCTTGGCTACGGCTTTCGAGCATGGTGACTACGTGAGGGCCCTGTTTGTCGAGCTGGTGAGACCGTCGTTCGACTTGGGGCGATGGAAGACTTGCGTGGCTCCATGGCGCTTAGTGCTGGTGACGGACGCCAGGACCGGCTACGACGCGGTGAACTCCGAGACCTTACCAACCGATCGCAAGATTGCGATAGACGTTGGAATTCTCAGGCAGGGCTTGATCGAGGACAGCTCTGGCGCCCAAGTGAGGTGGGTCCCGGGAAGCCAGATGCCTGGTGACGGGCTTACCAAATGGCACGACAATGGCGTGTTGTTGACTGTCATGACGAAGGGCGTCTGGTCCTTGAAGGACACAGCCGAAGCTCAAGAACTTCGACGGATCGCTGGAGCCAAGCGCGCCGCTTGGCGTAGGTCTCAGAAGTCCAATGTGGCCATGTGACCGCTCTCGACTCCAGAGGGGGTTTGTGTCAAAGCACCCTGTTTTCGAGCGGTCAGGTCGCATACATGTCACAGGCGATCGCATGAGTTCAGAAACGAGCTCGCCGATCTGCAGCCGTTACAGGCCCTGAAGTGCGCAAAAGGTTAGAGTCCGGAGCCCACATTGCTGTCTGCGCTGTCACGTTCGTGTATAATTAGGATAGGGTTTTGGGGCCCACTATACTATTTATGACAAGGAATCACCAGAACAGTATTGGTAATTATTTCGGCCCCTACAGTATGTCACACACAAACGTTCAGCCCAACAGGTATGAAGCTCGAAAGTCAGAACAAGTTGAGACCGGAAACCCTACACAGCCGCAGGGCCTACCGTCTTGCAGCCGAGATGAACCCACTCTAGACTCTAGATCCCAGGCTGCAAGACCCACGTAAGCCAAACATTCATGAAACTGCCTTACTATAGGGGCCTAAATGATTACCTATGCCTATGCTATTTTGGATTACTATTATAGTTTCACGGGCCCCGAGACCCTATTCTAATTATCGAAACACTTTCATGAAGCCCGAAAGGCCCGAACCGGACCTGAGCCAAGCAGTCAAGCAGGTCGCAACCCCAGATCCGAAATCTTTAATTTGACCCTACTTAAAGCGTCATGGGACTTAGTAACTAAGGTTATTTTTAGGGTAACTATGCTTATAATTACTTATAACCCCAACTAGGGTACTTAGAACCTGCTTACGAAGTCCCATGATCCTCCAAGCAGGCCCTGAAAGCTCAAAACCCGTAAATAGAGCGCCGGCAGGCGGAGGGTATCCGGCAGTCGAGGAGCGTGAGCTATAGGGTTTAAGGATTGTTGGGAGATAATAACGAATAAGACAAAATAAAAATAAATACAAATAGTAATAATAGTAACAATAATAATTATTATAATTGGACTCAAGGATTGTTGGGCTCACGGGCATGGGGATTTAGAGCCTTCCGGGCGTTTGCAGAGTTTAAACAGGGTACAGGGCTTTTGGGAAGTTGATCCGTGGTGGGTGCTCAGGCCGTGAGTTTGTGGAAGGCTTTGCGGCTGTTGAGGTTCAGGGTTAGGGGTGTTGGATTGAAGGCTCGGGCAATAATATAGAGCCGGAACAATTAGCAATAGTATCTTCGTAGAGTCCTTGGTAATGTAATTACGCTACCATGATGCAACCCAAATCATCCCCACACCCAGGCCACTACATTGCGAGGAAGCTCCTGGCGTTTGGGTTTGGAGCTCGGCAACCGCTAAACCTAAACCCTACGCCACCAAACCCCTACACTTCCCTCAACCCTAAACCCTAAACCCCTACACTTCCCTCAACCCCCTACTCTTCCTAAACCTATAAAACCCGTACACTTCCCTAAACCCATAAAAAACCCAGCGCTTCCCTAAATCCACAAAACCTGCCTACAGCAGCGGAGGACGAGCTGGGCTGGCTGTCCGAGCTTCTGGCACCGGAGGCGGGGTTGGTCAGGGGATGAGGGCTTTCAGGCTTTTAGGGTGAAGTGTTGGGGACTTAGGGAGGGCTTTTGGGGCTTATAAAGAGTGCTGAGGATGACATTATGCTTATTCATGGTGCACTTATGGTGCTTATGCTTGATAGGGTTTAGGGCTTCTACGGATTATCGAGAGTGCTTGGAAACAACAGGGTTTGGATTAATGGCTTTCAAGGCTTTTACAGAGTGCTTGTAATCATAGGACTTCAGGGCCTTTGCCTGAAGCCTTAGCAGCCTACATGTTTAGCGGTCCTCGTTAAGATTGCCTTCCGCGCCCTAACAAACCGCAATGTGTTGAGGGCTTACGAACAGTGGTTTACGCGAGAGTTCGGGGCTTTAGGTTTGGAAATCGTGTTGGCTTCCGTGCGTGCGGCATGGCAGGCGGACTTGTACCGAAACAGCACACGCATTTACGCTTGGGCCCGTGAACCTCAGGCAGGATTTGCAGCTTGAGGGCCTCAGGGTCTTTAATGTGCTTTACTTACAGAATCCGAGGCCGCCATAGCAAATGCCTGCGCCCAAAAGCACTGAAGCTACGAATCTAGTTGTCGAATACATGGGTCCTTTCAGATGAATGTGCAATGGCTCAAAAAGTGGTCGGCTTCAGATATTTATTGCCTAGATGTTTAAGGGCTCATGACTCATGAGGATCGTTTGGATGCTAGGTAAGATGGGATCCGCAAGCAAGAGCAGTGATGTTCCCCTCGCTTGAATGACTTTGCATATGCTTAGCCCAGGGTACGCCGAAGCCGCAAGACTCTTAGAGCGCGCTTCCAAAACAGATGAACCCTCATCGGCCTGGTTTTCCGATTTTGCTGCCTCGGGAAATCCCCCGAACCGCGAGAAATCGAAAACCGCACACGTGCCTCAAAGCCACCTCTCGTCCCCTGAAAGTTCTCGTCCGACGCCCCAATGACCTTTGAAACCCCTGCAACCCGAAATCCACAATCGAAGCGCGAGACCTCAACACGCTGCCACCAGCAAGACCGCTCGTGGAGGCTATCTATGCAGTGAGCTGTATCCGAGCCCACGAAAATGGAGTCGCAGAAACAGGGAACCCTCAACTGAAAGGTCATGAGTTTCACAAGCTCAGGTCAAGGAGAAATGCGGCGATGCTGCGATGCCTGGCACGGAGGTGAGGGCTTCTTGTGCGTGTGTTGTCGTGTAGAATTGTATGATGCGTGCGAGCAAGGTGCTAGTCTTCTCTTGTGTTGGGTTCTGTAGGTCCGTCGAGATTCCTGTTCTACTTGTTGGGGTCTAGTGCACAGCCCGCCGCACATTGCGTGGAGTCCCTGCTACCCAATCAGGATGCAACTCTTGGACAATTTCCAAACCCTTGCGGCAGGAGTCCTTGCGCGAAGCGCTGCTGCCCTTTGCCAAGGCTTGTGCCGCCTCTTGTTTTGAGTTGGGGATTCAGGTTACGTGTTATGTATGTCAAGAGTCATCCCTGCAGAATTAGGATACTGTCGCATTATGAATGCAGTGCCCGAGCCCTTTTCAGTTTCGTGAATTTGGTGTTCGGGTATTTTTTGCGTTGTGTCGCGGGAGATGTGGGAATTCGAAGTAGGTGAAGGTGCGCACTCCACAAATCATCCTCGGAGCACGCCAGCCTCCAGCCCAGAGACTGGAGCACGAAAGAATCAGCTCGCAACAGGCGGAGTCCTGACGTTGTGGGGACGGACCGGGAGGGATAGATTTCTCGGCTGCGACGACTGAAAGTGAGGTCCGGTTCGAGTTCTGCGCGGTTATTGTAGCTGATGGCACGCTAAGCTATGATACCATCATCCTCAATCACATTCGCAAGGCACTTGTTGTGATTTCGTAATGTACAGAGCTCCGGAGTTTGTGCCGGCTACAGACCACGTCCGCCCCCCCCCCCCGCCCCCCCAAGCTTTGGGTTTGGGCTGGCTGAGGGACCCCAAATGGACCGAGTCTTCTGCATGCGCTTTAGAACTAGAAAAGTAATCTCAGCATGCAACGCCGCTATCTGTCAAAGCAGCATTGCCTGCATGTGCAGGTTGTGGAAGTGACAAGAGTCGATGATGAGCTCCGAGCAGACGATGCTGGGGCCCCTGGCCTTGGCGGAAGCTGGAAGCCTTGCACTGCATGACACAATTGCAGCTGTGGTTCTGTTTTCTTTCCGATTCGGCGAAGAGGAAGCAAGTTACAAGATGGGTAGCATGATGAGGGAGACCCCTTAAAGGGTACCCCTTCCGAACCCTACTTCTGGCTCTCTTAACAGGGAGTTACAAGAAGGCACTTTGAAACCTTTTTTGGGGCCTCGCCATACTCTGATCCCTCGAGGACACTACAGTTGAACAGCTTCTGCGACGAATGTGTGCTGAGCCTTACCCTAAGGCCCCAAAGTAGTTCCTTTTTGGGGTTCATATTTAGAACCTTATGATGCAATCCCAAAAAGGAACTACTATGGGATCTCTGGGTAAACAGAGACCAGCACGGCCTTGTGCGCAAACCTGAGGATTGTGAGTTCTTGTTTGGGCGAAGCAGCCTCGTAAACTCGTGACGCCCCGCAGGCACATGTGGCCTCTCAGCTCAGGATACAAGACCCTGGCCGAGATGATTCAAGATTGCTTAGATCTCCGAAAGAACACTTCGAAGACTGGGCCGCCATGATTCAGGTTGAACTACACCCTCGGCCCAACATCTCTACCCTCGTTTCTACACCAAAGCCTATGAAAACCCGGGGCTCCCCCCCGCAAAACCCTGATGATCTACGCCCAAACCTGAGACCTGGACCTCAAGCGCCAGACCCTATAGACCCCTAACACAAGAAGCCCCTAGGCCCAAGATCCGAAATCCCAATCCCTCAACCAGGCTACAGCCTATCTGGATCATCTCGCTGGCCCGAACTACGACGACCTGGCTGCCGGAGTCTCAAGTTAAAAGGCGGAGATCGGGTTGGGGATCGGGGGCTTGGGGTTTCGGGTCTAAGCTTAAGGAGGGATGTGCATAAGGGTTGGGGTAGCAGTGTCTTTCGGGGATCTGGTGTTGAGTCAAGTCCCAGCGATGATTGTCCGTTGCAGGTAACCCTTCTCACACTCCATACGCCGAAGACCAGCGTGGGATCGAGTGCACAAGACAACGAAGCCTCAGCGAGGGAGTTTAGGGCTCAGGACACCTATTGGCACAGCTAGTCTTCTTCCTGTTGGTGCAGACATGAACTCGTAATAGCTGGTGATGTCATGTTTCTTGATGCTTCTTGTAGTTGTAATATTCATATTAGTATAATCCGCGTCCTACGACCTTCAATGTGAGGTGCTTATCACTGTTTGGAGTCTATGCTGGAATCGTAATTATGCCGGCCACTGCTATGAATGCTGTCTGCGGTTCCGCTGGAACGGCAGATGTTGCCGTTGTTTTCTTCGCCGGAGCCCTGCTGTAATGATCCTAGCCTAGCTGAAGTTACAAACGCTCGACCCCTGAATCCTAGACCCTTGACCCAAAGCTCTGAACCCTAAACACCAAACACCTTTAGGCGTGGACATTTTTTCTCCATGCCGACGCTCCGGAGCATGTGCATCCCTTCCGTCTCCTGGAGGAGGTGGGTCAGTTCTGTCATGCTGGGGTGACAAAAGCATCCAGGCTTCGGCTTGCAGCCTTGAGGGATGTAGGCCTCAAAAGTGATCGGTCTGGGTATCGTTTGCGCAAGAACCACCACAGGTTCGAGGGACGGTCATGAGTCATGAGGATTGTTAGAGAGAAGGTTCCCTTTCCCTTGGTTCTTGTTACGGACTTTAGTTTGAGTTACGTACCACAATAGGGAAACCATACAGTATCATGTACTATAGATCCCTACTATGGTAGCTTAAACCCCCCACCCTTAAAGGAACCCATATAGATCGCTTCAAGGAGCCCTTATAGATCCCCATTATGGCAACTTATTTTTGATTCATTAAACTCCTGAACAAGAACCCAGTTCCATGGCTCTCACGATAAAGCTGGGCAAGCTCGGGCGAGACTTTGATTGCGCGTCGATGGGTTTACGCCCTGAACTCCAAGCAAGAGAACCCTACCCTAGCCGCCCAACCCGAAACCCCTGAACCCCAAACCCTAAACCCTATCAGTCACGATTTGTGGGAGGTCCTGGCGGCCGTGCGGAGCGGCTTGTTGGAGCAGGCCCGGCTCTGATTTCTTCTCTGGCTCTGGGTGCTCTCCGGAGCCTCTACTCTATCCTAAACCCGAAACCCTAAATCCCTAAACCCCAAACCCTATACTTCCTTCTCTGGGACCGTTTTGACAGGGAAGACCCTGACCCTGACCCTCCTGCAAATGCAGGATACTTTCCCCTTCCTCTACCTTAGCCCGGGACCCAGCTTCCTCTCCGGTTTTGCTGTTTCTACACGATGGGATCTGATGAAAAGCTGGATTTTGGGTCAGGGCCACCTGTTCGAAGGGGGCTCTGCAGCAAAGGATCCACTGTTTGCTGCTGGCTTTTCATGCGGAACGACGGTGAACGACGACTTCAACGGGTACGAACCCGTCTTGCGGACTGTCGAGTACTGGGTTCACTTTGGAATTGTCGTGTCAAGGGTGTGCCACTTTAACTGAGTGGGTGGTTGCAGATCAGGATGCACTGTGTGTTGAATTGTGACGCGGTTTCTTGACGACACTGTTCGACGTGCATGGGTTTAAGTGTTTGTCGCTACGTATGTCTGATAATCAGGCCTAAACCCCTGAACTCTAAGCCTCGCCGAAACGAATGGTTCATAGACCTTGAAGTATATCACGTTTTGATGGTCGGCTGGACCCGAGTCGGGATAAACTATCCCAAGAGTGCACTTGGACGCCAGGCCCCATACTCCTCCAGCCGGCACCGTCCCAGCTTGTGCAACCTTTGCAGAACCCTTAGGCCATTTGCAAAACGTAACATAGCAGTAGGGCAGGTAACCTTTGGCCTTTTTGGTGTACTATAATGCCCATACCATCCCGCAGGGCTAAACAAGAGTTCCCACAGGATGCTGGACAAGCAAGTTCCTAAACTCTAAAACCCTAAAACCCTAAAGCCTCAAAAACCCTTGGGCAGACGGAAAAAGAGGGTTCAACAAAAAAACGAGGCCACAACTTCCTGGACCTGGGCTCGTCTCTCCACACCTGGGATAACTTCGCCTCACCAAGGCGAACTGCCGGGGAAGAGTTGGGGTTTGGGGGGTGTCACGATTTGTTTGAGGGATCCATAAGGGTTATGGAGGCTTCTACGGGAATTGTTCTTTATAGGGGTTCTAAAGGGGTTATACAGCTTCAAGTGGCTTATGAAACATAGTACTTTCAGTTTGGGGGCGTTCTCGGGGGAGGCATGGAGTTTCGAGGTTCACGGGTGCCGGACTGGAAACCCGAAGAATCCAAGAGCTACTTCTTCGACATAGCAAAGCCTGTTCCCTAAAGCCTCAGCCAAATCGAACAGGTACCAAAACCACCATGATCCCCAAGCTTAACCTGTACAAATCCCAAAGATAGGTCCCAAACCTAAAACCAGCCAAAGCAAAGCGCCCACACTGCAGAGCTCACAAGACCAAAGCTCGGCCCAAAGCCCGAAGACTCGAAACCAGACCCCCAAACCTCAGTCTTAAACAGTAAACCATCAATCCTCAATCCCTAAACCTCGGAAGCCCTAAACCCCTAAACCTTCAAAAATGCAATCTGAAGCCTAAATCCTAAATCCGAAGTTCTTTAAAGATGAAGTGTTAAGCCTAGCCAGGCTTTGGAAGCGGCTCTTCGGCAGTTCAATCGCACCTCCACGCGAGGTCCGCCCCTTCCACAGAGCCCCTACGCTTTACAGCGAACCCCAGAAAGTTGGAGCACATAAGGATGATTCATGCTGGTATTCCCTATACTGTACTTTAAGGGCATGAGGCCAATGATGCTCCAACTTTCTGGCTTGTACTGTAAGGTTTGGGAATGTTTGGTTTAGGGTATCTATAGGGATGTTTAGCATCAGGGTTGCCGGATTCAGGGATATATCGGGTGTGTGGGTGTTTTGAAGGGTGATGGCAAGGTTTAAGGTTTTTGAAAGTTGGGGTCTGTCTTTGTGTCGTGGTCGGGGGTTGTGAGCCATTCCAGAGATCAAACGGGGCCTTCCAATTTGATAACTGAAGGAGCGGCTTGGAGATTTCAGGTGCGAACGGTGGTAGGCAGAACGATATATCTGTGGGTCTTGCGAAACAACTACCTGCCTTGCACATAAGTATATATGCTGCCCCCGCCAGCTAGGCTGTCAGATTCCCCAAGACACTGCTCTGAGTACATGTGTAGGCATTTCTCAACCCGGGAAGATTTGAATTGGCCTCGCCCTTTCCGGCTCCGATCTGCAGTCCTTATACCTACTATTTAAGGTACTATATTAGGGTCCCCTATTTAGCCCAAGCAATGCGAGGCAGTCAAGGGCTACTGCTGCGTGCAGTTCCTGGTCCCGCGGCGTCGCGCTCTTCTCCGGTCAAGGGCATGGTGCGCTGGGCTATAAAGGGCTTGAGCCATTGGAGTCTATGTCTATGTACTGTGTTGCTGTATTCCTGTAGCACCGTCGCGGAGTTGCATTAAGACCTTATCACAGATGACACGAAAAGCAGGGGTGCCTGTTTGGAGTAGGAATGCCTTCTAGACAAGGAGAGGGCAAGGGAACTCTCCTGCAGACTGCCGGCTGCAAGATCGATGCCTTATATCGGGAGTATCCGAACACAGTTATGCTGGAATGTCGGCTTTCTTGAATCCTCCTGTTCTGGCTTGATCTTCTGTCGGCCATTCGTTGTGACGTTCTCAGCCTGCAGCTCCAGGTATGCCACTGCCTTGGCCTACTTCGCCTCCGAGGTGTCTTATTTCGAGCTGTTTCCCTGGGGACGGCTGGTGACGTGGCAGGACACCCACGCAGCTGCTAATATCATCTTAGCAACATACCTTTAGGGTGGTTGTAGTTTGTATTCTGTCGCCGATGGTTCGATGTCACATTCATCCCACGAGGCGTTTGCTACCGGGTCTTCGTGCCCCCCTAGAGTCGCACACCCTGCTCACCATTGAGTAATTAGGACAGAAGCATCTAACGAAAATTTACAGCACGATGCGAAGAGAAGTGAAGTTGGCCTCAACATACGAGGTTCCGTATCTCAATCTTGCCATGAAGCTTCACAACGTTTGCGAGACCAGGATCTTACGTGCAGGGCTCCTGCGCAGCTGTGGATGTCGAGACCTCGGAAAGACTCGTGAAGTCAATCATCAATGGGGCTTCAAGCACATGATGCAGGCTTAGGCTATACTTTTGGGGCCGAAATAATTACCAATACTTTTTTGGGGTGCCTTATTGTAAATATAGTGTAAAGGGCCCAAAACCCTTCTCTAATTATTAAGACCCCTTTGTTTGTTGGATACATGTTCTTGTACTTTCTAAGCTCCCGCCCGGGTTTCCGTGAGCCGGGACCCTCGGAGCGGTGGGAGAGAGCTTGTCAGCCGACATCTATAGAATGAGAGACTCAAGCTTCAATGTGAAGCCAGGTCCAACCCCACAATCCAGATAGCGACGCAGGCAGCTAGAGCGATGGTGTTTATAGGACGGTGTGGGGTTGAACAGAACATGATCCCAGACTCGTCAACTCAACTGGCCCAGATCAAGGCTTTGACGACTCATATCTTGGCAAATCTAGCTTGTTCTTAGTTTCAGCCTCTGCGATTAGAGAAGCTGCAGAGAACGGCCGTTATCACCAACTGAAGTACCACTATTGCCCCCACACTGCATCAGAATTCATGAAGCTATCCCGAGGAGGAGGCCATAGCAGTTTGTAGTCTGCTAAGCTCACGGATCCAAGGCCCTGGTGGCATGTGGTCTTTGGTGAGGCCGCCAGCATCCAAAGCTCCAAAGGTCAACCCTGGCCCTAAACCCTATGTTGCAAAACCTTTAGTGCGAAGCCCGTAGTTTCCGATCCCTAGATCATATGACCCTACTCAATTCAGCTTTGTTTACCTACCCAAAGGGTCCAAAGTACCTGTATAGTAGAATGTAGGGTTTCTATATCAGGAATCCTTATTATGCTTTGGGAAAGTATCCCCCATAACAGCACCCAGGACCCTTTGGGCTAGCTCCTTGGAGTTTGCTAGTCGGGTTGGTGTGGTTACCCGGTCTTGCGTTCAAAAGTTTGGAGCTGGGGAAGAAGATCAGAGTTCACCAAACTGCAGTGCTTGCTGTAGAAATGTGTGTATATACAGATACGGGTGGTTGTCAAAATTATGGTCCCTTTTTGGGTCCCTATTATAGTACGGCACCTATTATTTAGGGTACCCCCAAAAGGAACCCTAATTTTGACAACCACCCATATATGTGTGTCTATATATATATATATGTATGTATATGTATATGTCTGTGTATATTTATATGTAGACGTATGTGTGTGTGTGTACATGTACATATATATATATATATATATATATATTGTGCATTGTATATGTCAGTATGTAGAGGCAGAACGGTTGCTTGCCGGGTTTCGCGTTTCGGGTCTAGTACAGCCCAAACGACTAGCACTGCAGCCCTGATAGGAACAAGCTCTTGTAATAAAGTCTTGAGATAGACTTTCATGATCCATGCTGATGCAGGAGCTTGCCTGCCCCGAGCGACATCAGGATCCGCGGCTGCCTCTCTTCTTACAGTTGAGGCCGCCTCTGAATCTAGGGGCTCTGCATCATAGACCCACGTAGTCTGAGTGAGAGCGTGAGCGACCAAAGTCTGTAATGCGGGGGCTTGAATGACTACCCGAATTTGCTTAAACCAGGCCTAAAACCAACTCTAACTATTCCGGGCCCCCTATATTAGATTCGCAGCAGGAGCATTCCGCCCGATCGGATACATTGCTGCTGAACGTTCTTTGGCGGAGGCAGCGGTGTTTACTGAGCTGGTTTGATCTCGCGTCGCTTGTTGGACTGCGGGTTCGGAGCTTTGGGTATGGGTTGTAGTGCTTTGGTGTTACAGGGTTGAGGTGCGAAGCTTGACTGAGAGCTCCGCCAGTAGTCTCACTTCAAGTTCACATTGCACTCGGGCACCAAAGTCGTTACCTTCACGGAACAGAACTAGTAACTAGTACAACACCGTCAGGTGGATGCACGATGAGGCCCCTTTGAGAAATCGGGCTCCATCACGGGGTGCTCGTACACTTCTGGCGGCTGGGACCTGAGATGGGCTCCGCTTTTGGCAGCGTTCTATTATACTATGATTATATATACATATATATATATACATATATATATATATATATATGTGTATATATATATGTATATATATATAAAGAGGAGCCCCGCAGAACCCAAACCTGAGGGTTCCATAAGGTTTGGGCTTGCAGTTTCAGGATTTCAGAATACTGCATTGACTGTCATGATAACCTTGCAAATGAAGATAAGGCCGCTGAAAGCCAACCATCGTGATGATTGCGATCCTGAACTCGAAAATGAAGATGAAGAGAAGATGATCTCAATGATAAGGAGACTATTCGGAATGTTGGCTGCGGTAATGTTGTTGATGATGACGGTGACTCAGACGCAAAAGTCACAGCACGCCACCTTGAATGCCGAAGGTCACAAGGCCGCCATTTCCACTTTCGCTTTCCCTTTTTCTCCGAGGTTCGGTTTCGGTACTTGGAGGGTCATGGGACTTAATAAGTAGGGTTATAAGTGCCCTAATTGGGGTTATAAGTAAGTATAAGTATAGTTACCCTAATTATAACCCATGACCCTTTAGATAACTGCTTGTTTCCCAGATCAAGGACAGCCTGTCACCGCAGCGTCTGTCGCCTTCCCAGAACTGGTTTGTTTCCGTACGAGGTCCTGCACCCTTTGCCGTCAATGCCATCCTCTCGGTCAGCCGTCAGCTGCAGAGTGTCAGCTGCACCTGGTACGCAACCAAGGCCGGAGGAGGGTGATACTGGAAGAAACAGCTCGTGAGATCCTTTGAACCTGACCATGGAGTCATGAGAGGGGCATGTGGCGAAGTGGTTAAAGCAACGGCAGATGAATGTGTCGTCTTGGGTAGCCAAAATTTCTGCACTTCGTGCATCGGTGCTGTCTATGTCGGCCGGGTGGTTTGCGACGAGCGGTTGGGGACAGCGCAGGCGAAAGAAATCTGTCAAGAAGGAGAGCGTCGGCCTCTACGTCTACGCAGAGCCGAGGAAGGCACGGAAGCGGACGCAGTCTTGCGGAACGGCGTGCCTAATTGCCCTGCTAAGTTACCCGAGCAGCAGTGAGATTTAACCTGGCGGATCGCACTGCCCCAAGCCCTCAACTACAGCCTGCGAAGAGTGGAACCCCAGCCCCGACGACCCTAAACTTCTGCGATGTGGCCGCTGCGGTGCATCAACCCCTCCTTTTCACCTAGCGTGATCTGCTTGCTGTTTGATCTTGGTTTATGATACTGATGAAGTTGGACCGTCGTGTAGAACCGCCGGTGAATGTGAGCCCGTGATCACACTGTGCAGGCTTGTAGTGCTCTCCACTTCATTGGGGCCTGTAGCCAGCACTGAGTTGCTGCATCCTCTGCCGCGGGGCTCCAGTTCCAAGACTCGTCAGCTTTTCCTACCACGGGCTGCTGGGCACAATAGCGACTTCGTTTTTTGTGTGAGTCGCGTACGGTCTGGTGTATGAGTTTGCGATGACCAGCAAAGGCATGAGGTTTAGAAAGCCCGCAAGCATTAACTGCGAATGCGTTTCTAACAATCGTATGGTTGAGTTCGCAGGTTCTGGTCGTGGCAGTGATGGTGGCGGTGGTAATTGTGATGCTGTTGGTGGTGGCGATAGCGACGCTGGTGTTGCTGTTTGTGCTGCTGCAGCTGACAATTGTTGTGAAACTTGGTACGGAGGAGGATGATGGTGGATGTGTTTGTTGTTGTGGCACGGGTGCAGGAGGAGGAATAGTGTAGTTAAGCAGCGCGGGCCACGGATGCAGAAAGCAAGAACGAAGCGCGCAGGAGGATCGTGGTCTGGTAGCAGAACCACTGCAAAGTTCAGAGCGACAGTGATGATGTAGGAACCCTGGTTGGCGAAAACCTGGGCCAATATCTCCAAAATAGTAGGATCCACATTACGGAGAGCCCTAATAAGACCCACGACTTCTTAGTCACGTTCCTACATCGGCAAGCGAGAATGCGACTGGTGACCTCTGGTATCCCCCGGTTGCCAGCATGAAGCATCAATGTGGTGAGCATGAGTTGTTCTGATGGAGACGGAGGTTCCATCTTAGACTTGCTGGCAGTTGTACTGCACTGCACAGCCAGCGCTGAAAACTAGAGCAACAAGCCTAGTTCAGCACGCCCAGGGACTGCAGATCCATCAGACAAGGGCTATTGTCCGAACTGAAGTGCTGGGCCTTGTTTAGGGGGGGCAACAGGGGAAACTGATGGATCTTGAACTTCAGGATATTAATTAGAGAGCAAGCTAGCAACTCGCAACTCCATGGCCCAAAATCCTAAACACGAAAGGTCTAGTCCATTGAGCCTCATACCCCTAAGCCCTCTCACGTCCTATAACAGCCGCTAGATCATGCTGCATCAGCCGGCCGTTGCTAAGGTGGCGTCCTACCGCTACCATGGGGCACTTTTCAGGGCTGATCCTTGTTGCCGTCCTGGCATGCTCAAGGCGCGGACGGTTCAGGTTGGAGAGCTCGCAGGGGTTACTTAGTAGCTGAGTGGATACACTTTACACTTTGGGAATATATTACCCATTATAAAACTAACAGTGTACACTTTTTGGGGGCTTATGAACTCAGCAGCTAAGGTTAAGGCTTTTTAACCAACCCGACCCCACCTCCTAGGTCAGCCGAACACGCTGGGTCTTACAGCACATCCTTTGCAGTCACGAAAAGAGCATCTGCATCATGTCCGTTAAGCCACGGTAGCCGTCCATCTGATCCCGGCCGTTGTCTGCACGCATGCATGCATGTAGGTATCTCTGTAGCTTCGCATGTCAAGTATGCATGCCTGAATGGAATGTGTGGATGTGCATGAATTTATGCCGTTATGTAGTCCATACTGAGGCATGTATGTGTAAATGCACGCTTGGGTGCATGCATGGTTTCATGTAGCTACGTACACCTGAATGCATGCCGGCAGGCTTGCTGGCATGCTGGCTTGCTTGCTTGCGCACTTGCTTGTTCGGTGTGTTTTGTTGTTTGCGTGCTAGTCCTGTTGACGCCCATCTACAGTGACAGCTACGGTGGGGCGTGCGAGAACGACATTAATATCTCCCTTCAGCCGCTTAGATAGATAGATGCATAGATAGATAGATGGCTAGATAGATAGATAGATAGATAGATAGAGACATAACAACTTGTGTAACTGCACGCATGTAAACATGCATTGAATGTGCGCATGTGTGTACGTGAGCCTGTAGTTCTGTATTCATGTATGTAAGTATGCATGTATGTAAGCACGTATGTATGTATCTATTTATGCACGTATCTATGTATGTATGCATGTGTGTATGCGTCATGCATGCATGCATATGTGTACATGTATGCCAGCAGTCAAACGTTTGTTTGGTTGGTTGGCTACTTGCTCAATGCGGCACTCATGCATGTGTTCATCGGTTGCTACCTACTTGACTTGTAAACACTGTTCTGCCATCGTCGAGGTCGACCGATGCTCCTCGTTGTGCAGCCGATGCATCGTCAACATGCTCCTGCGTCAGAAAAGTTCGTAAGGAACTTCGTAACTACGACCTACCAGCATTGGCTGAACGTTCTGGTCCTGGAATCCTAGAATTTAAAACTCATTGGCACAGACACAAGTTTTGCTTTCCCCCGCAATAAGGAATGTAAGTAGTGTAGCAGTAAGGCAGTATGGTATGTACAGCGCTGCGTAGGGTTCGGGCTGTCGACTTGAGGAGTTCGGTTCGGGCCTCATCCCGACCTGTGCGGTACGGTTGATGATATAAATCCTGCATGAACCATAATAAGGGCCCAAGGAATATGCCATAATTCCCATAGTGTAGGGTCCTTAAGGTAATGCAGGATTTATATTATCAACCGTAAGTCCACAGGCAGCGAGGTTAGCAAAGCGGGCCCCTATGAAGATTGCAAGTTTGGAATGTGCAGTCCAGAACAGCGCAGCAAGGCACCGAACTAATGTCTTACGGATCAGATCGGGATGACAGTTTTTGCCGCTTTGCCGAGACATCTCGGTTCGATGTTGGAAATATCTTGTCTGAAAGATCTCAACAACTGCACTGTCCTACATGCTTCAGCATTGGGCATTGGATTTTCGGTACAATGCCATGATCTGTACTCAAAGTATTAGGGGATTTGGTAAGTAAGTAGGGTTACAGTACAGTTAGAGTTATCGTGTAACTGCACTCGTACCTACTACCGCACACAAAAGCTGGCCCCGCAAGAGGCTGGGTTGTCCTTCTGCCTCCATTCAGCCGAAATCTTCCAGCCTAACCCCGACAATCTGCTCCTGATTGCTGCGCTCTTGAACCCCAAACCCTCACCCTTTTTTGGTAAGCCCCTTATAAGTTCAACCCGGAAACTCAAGGTGAGGAGCTCGGTGAAGTGAGCACGCTCCAGGTCAAGGCGCAGCTGAGTGGGGCGAACTCGGTTTGGAGAAACCCTGAGCCTGAGAGACCGTGGAATGAGTTGGGTCTATACCATAGGGGCCTTAGTAATATCCTGTGGGGGGCTCCTTTTTTCCATGAGAGGATATTGGGCCCCAAAACCCCATTCTAATTATTCAAGGGCCTTGAGTACCTGCATTAGGGTTCTCTTAATTGCCATAGCCTAGGTGCCCCGCTCCTTTCAGCCCTAAGCCGCGAGCCCTTTCTGTGGTCGCTCCTCCTGCAAGCTGTCGAGCCTACGCACGGGCATGCACAGCACAACAAGGCTCTAAACAAATCCATGAGTTAGGAGTTTCGGACGTTCGTTTCAAGAATTCAGGGTTTGTCTCAGAGAGGTTTCGCAGGGACCTCGACATACTAGTGATAACAAACCTGATAACAGCCAACTTCACATCAGATCAAGATTCCGCGATCAAGCTTCACACTTTTGTCAGAGGCCGGGCCATAATAGGGTAGCTCGAAGAATGGGTCCACAGAGCAAGCATGGCCTCACCGAAGCCTCCAGCATACATTCCTTCAGCAGCACCGCCCCTGGCGCAAAACTCACGAAGCAAAGCTTTCCCGATTCGTCCAAGTTCCCACTCCCGCAGCATACGAGCCGAGCCCTCAGACCCCAAAAGCAGTCCCTATGCCCCAGATCCCATCCAGGCAGCTAGCTTAATGAGCCCCCTATGTCATATCCTTTAAATGAATAAGTGTATATATATATATGTATATATAATGCTATACTATATTATACTATACTTTATCTTATCTTTAAACCTGGAAAAATCCCGCAAAGGGCAGCGGCTCCAGAGCATTCCAGGCTGAGGCGCGAGTGAGGATAGGATCCAGTTGTTCCTTTCGGGCTTGTACCCTAAGGGTCCATGTATTCATCTAGTATACACATAGGCCTTAAAGTACTCGCTATATCGGTAAATTGAGCGCAAAGTATATGCTGCATGGGTACATGGACCCTTAGGGTCTTGGGGTCCTGTAGTCTCTGACCTAGTTTTAAGTTCCTACGAGTGGAACGAGAACTACAGCCGTGTTATTTCCTGGAAAAGGATGAGTCGTAGCAGTGGGAGTATGATTGACATGACATGAAGTAGAAGCTGGGAAGCGGGTGCTAGCAAGACATGATCAACAGAAGTAGCGGGAGCAGGAGTTGTTGCTGGTACCGTTGCTTTTGTCGCTGTCGTGGTCGTTCTTGTTGTTTGTGCTGTTTTTGTTCAGCAGCAGCAGAAGCACAAGGAGCGCCACAGCAGCAGGTACAGGTACAGTAACATTCAAACTGCACAAGTTTCAGTCCAAACAGTCAATCCTAAACCTTAAACCGTTCAACCCTCAACCCCCATAGCCCTACGGCAGCTGCGGGCGCCCGAGGTCGTCATACCGGGGCTGGGGCCCGGCGGAAATCCCGCCACGTGCCTGCAGTCGCGGCCACGTTGCGGTCGATGAGGTGCTCTTAGAGTCTTAGGCTTCTGGTTCCAGGGAAGTGTTGCAATAGTAGAACTGATTTCGACTGAAGCCACAAGTTTCGGACCGGGACCGACAGCAGACCCAATGCTAGCTGCGTAGCTTCGTTG